AAAATTCCCAGCATTCACATGGTAGCCTATAACTGTCTGTAACTCCAGTTGCAAGGAACCTGACACATTCACAGTCATACATGAAGGCAAGGCACCAATGAAAATACTCTAATAATAAATAAATTATAAAAACACATTTAATAATCAGGCATATAATGTTGTCTCTACATATATAAATAAAGTAGTAAGGTTTGCAGAAAATACGTGTCATATATACATTCCATATCTACAGAAACACAACTCATGCACACACAAACTCATGCTGAGGATTCTTGTTTCTTAGGAGATTATTTTTCTTCTGGAAAATGACAACTATTCTAAAATGTTCATGCAAGTCAGACTGCCCAAATAACCCTTGGCATGGGGGCATATCTGTGTGACCGCAACAAATGTAGGTCGTGGGAGGAAGATCATTAGTTCCAGGTATGTTTATAGTGACATTGTTTCTAAAGGCGAAATAAAGCAAAGCGGTAAGATACTTGAGAATCTCTAAAACCGTCTTCCACAATAAGCACACGTTCTCTGCTTGTTTCTTCCTCCTCTTTGCTTTCCCCCATTCTTTGTGTTCTTCCATATAAACATTTAATTTGGCTGCTAAACACTAACATGACCTTGGGGAATGGCCTGTTCTAGGTAAGACAGTATTACATGAAATGAAATTGTGTCTGTTCCCCCCTATGTCCATCCATGATTTGCACCCTTCCATTCTTCCACAGAAAAAAATGATTTGGCTACACAAACACAAACATGACCTTGAGGAAAGGGCATGGTCTAGGTAAGACAGTATTACACAAGATAAAATCTGTCATATAAACACCAATGATGTGTTACAGACTATAGGTAATGAATATTTTATGTAAATTTTAATGGCTTATAAAACACCACTAGGAATGCTAGACCTCAGTAGCAAATAAAGTCAAATACATGGAACATAAAAGAAGCAAGGGAATACTAGATAAAGTTTAGAGAAATGAAGAGATTAATCCTGCCTCCTCTCCTAGCAAGCCAATGCTCCAGGCAATTATCAACCACAGACCACACATGCTTCTTTAGTTTCCTATGCCGTCCTGGACTTCTTTTCCTTTACCTCTGCTGACCACTTTGTCTAAAGAAGTTTCCCATTTTTCCATCCAAACATTTCGCCCAGACTTTCAGCTCAACGATAAGGGTCAGACAGACTCTGAAAAGCTTAGCCTTGCTTCTGACTATTCTCCCATTGAACACTGCACACAACTCCACTGAAGAGACCTCACTTTGCTGTATAAGGTAAACTAGAATGTTTACCTTTATGCATGCTCCGTGCTATTTGTGGTTGTATTATCAGAATGGTAGAGTCACAGAACACTTAGTAAGTGCTTGGTCTCTGTTACAGGAATGAACTGATTCTTTATAAACATTTATGAAGCTGGTGTGTGTTATTTCTTATATTGGGATAGTTTTAGATAATGAGTTTTCTGAAGTATAATTGCCCTGTACCTGAATCGTGAGTAAAGTATCACAAAGGCAGTGGCTGAGAGTGCAAGCACCGCTGCTACAAAAGGAATCAAACATCATATAAACAATGAACTAGAGTGTAAATATGCACAGAAAGCTGTGAGACATTCAGACAACAGACTAAGTCCACTACATGGAGCTGTTATTGCAGGCCACTGGGAGTAGCACGAATGAAAGATTGAATTGTGGGTGTTTTAGGTAGGTGGGAAGTGCAGAGAATTGATTTTTTTAAAAAAAGAATATTCAGATTAGGTATTCATGAATATCTAATATAAATAATTCATTTCCCATTGACACTAAAATCCCAAATGACAGCCGTTAAAATTGTATTTTATGAGCACTTAAAGACATGTTGTTTAATCTTCAATGCCCTTTTTAAAAATACATTAAATGGAGGTAGCAAATAACTTTTTAAATTGCAATATTCAATAAATGAAAAAAAATTACAATGTGTCCACTGATTTTTGGAGTCTGTAGAGAAATAAGAAAGCACATAAAGGTTTTCCGGCTTCACAGTCAATCAGAATGCTGTGAACACTGGTTCACAATAAAACAGAGGGTGCAATTGGTCCTGAAAATGCTCTTCTTGCTGACTTATGGTCATCCCCCATGAAGGACACCATGTGATAATACACAAAGCAGTTATCTTGAGAATGAGCTGGTGGCGCCATATGTAAGAGCAGAAGTTGTTTGGGTTGGTTGTCTCTTTCTGTGGGAAGAATGTGACCTTTTCTTACCCTTATGAGGACATGTTCAGAGAAAAGAGAGGTAGAGTGCCAGCCTCCTTTGCTTGAGACCCTAAGGTTAATCCCCAGTCCTGAAAATCTTTAGTTCAGAAGGGTGAAGAAATAGAACAAAACTAGAAAATGGAGTTAAAACCTACAACTCTCATTTTTTAGTCCAGTGTCTTTTTTTGCTATACTAGGTTATATCAAAATATAACCTAAAATAAAGGACTACATCTACCAGTCTTTAACTTACAAGGAAACAGATTTTTTAAATTTATTTGTTTTTTATTCATTTTACATCCAGGTTGTAGCCCGATCCCTCTTCCCCTCCCAGCACCAACCTCCCTCCCCACACACCTAGTCTTCAGAAAAGGGGAGCTCCTTTCCCATCCACCCCAGCTCATCAAGTTGCATCAGGACTGAACATGTTCTCCTCCCCTGTGCCCTGCCAAGGCAGTCCCACCAGGGGAAAGTGATCTGAAAGCTAGCAAATGAGTCCATGTCTGATGCAGTCCTCACTTCCCTTACTAGACTGCCCACTAGAAGCCTAAGCTGCCCATCTGCTACATCTCTGTAGGAGGCCTAAGTCCAGTTCATACACATTCCTTGGTTGATGCTACAGTCTCAGCAAGCCCCTTTGGTTAGTTGGCTCTGTCGTTTTTCTTGTGGAGCTCCTGTCACTTCCGGGTCCTTTTCTCTTTCCTCCCACTATTCCCCAATACTCCCTACACATCAACCAATGTTTGGCTGTGAGTCTCAGCATTTGTTTTGAGGTGCTGCTGGGGAACACCTCTCAGAGGACAACAGTGCCTGCAGGTTTAGCAGAGTATCTTTCATAGTGTCAGGGGTTGGCACTCTCCCATAGGGTAGGTCTTTGGTTGGGCCAGGCATTGGTTGGGCATTTCCCTCTATCTCTGCTCGATATTTAACCCTGCACATCTTGTGGGTAGGGTAAATTTGGGGTTGAAGATTTAGTGGGTTGGTTGAAGCTCTCTTCCCTCTACAAAGAGACTTGTCTAGTTGGTGGGTGTTCTCTTCAGTCTCTATGGCCTCTGCTACTAGGAGTCTCTGCTTGAATCCCCCTCATATCCTCCCAGATGCCTACCCTGACTTAGGTCTCTCGCTTGTCACAGAGATACCTTCACACTCCATTTCTTTTTTTCTCTAGTAAGGCCTTAGAGATCAACCTGGGGAGATCGAGGGCTACAGGAAACAGATCTTGCTCCATGTTTTATGTCAGGTCTTTGTTTCCTTCTTGTTAAATAGGAATAACACAATTGAGTAAGTCTCATAGTGACATCTAGTGTCTAAATCAGGTAATACAAAATATAAAAGGAATTCTATGCACTTTTATATATGAAAATGTCTGCACCACAGTTCAAGACAAAACAGGAAGAGAATTTAATAAAATTCTAATATGCCAACATATGAGGTATTGTTTGATAGTGATTTTTTGTTTTAATAACCCTGCATTATTGTCTTTCTGAGCTTTAATGGCATTGTCATCTCAAAAAATATTTATGAGACTCTATCATGTGATAGAAGAAATTGTAGCCATGGGAGATACTACAGTGACTTTATTAAGAATTTTAACACTATACATGGGAAAATTTATTTATGAGAAGAAACTTTAAAACATTGACATCCAGATGAAAATAAAAATCTGTGCAAAAATCAACCCTGAGATTTCACCTTACACCCATGAGAATGGCCAAGATCAAAAACTCAAGTGACAACACATGCTGGAGAGGTTGTGGAGAAAGGGGAACCCTTCTCCACTGCTGGTGGGAATGTAAACTGGTACAACCACTCTGGAAATCAATCTGGCGCTTTCTCAGACAACTAGGAATAGCGCTTCCTCAAGATCCAGCCATACCACTCCTAGGCTTATACCCAAAAGAGGCACAAGTACACAAAAAGGACATTTGCTCAACCATGTTTGTAGCAGCTTTATTTGTAATAACCAGAAGCTGGAAACAACCCAGATGCCCCTCAACTGAAGAATGGATGTGTGTTTCTTTTCAAAGTCCATTACCACGTCTTTCTTTTTTTATGGTACAACTGTCCTCCTTTTTGGGAAGTTAAGTCTGTTTAGAACTTCCTTTTTCCTTACTCGAAAATATTCAACAGAACAGAGTTATTCTCCATTTCATTATTTTAATTGTTTCATATTTATTTCTAAATAAGTTTTTTAGAACAGGGTCTGAATTTGTTCATCTCTACACATTCCATACAGTGTTGGGTGTTGATATAAATTTTGAAAATACTAAGTGATACGTGGCAGAAGACATGGTTGCATTGCATATTTTCTGCTTGCTTATGATACATTTTAACTGATTTACTCTTGCTTATCTTGTTTGCTTCTCTAGGTTTTCAATACATCATTATCTGAACTGCCACCTCCAGGATATGAGAACATCAAAGTTGTAGTGCCACCTTTCAATGCCTTCTCGCCACAAGGGACACCCGAGGTAACCATCCATTTCCTCATACATTTGGGCAAGAATTAAAATGTAATAAGAACGGTCTCTATAAAACTCAAATTTCTTCCTTTTTCACAAACAAAGCTTCCTTACTAAGAAAAGAAGTGTTATTATTATTTTTTTTGTTCATGGTGCTTTTTTATTTTTACTCTCCTTTTTTTTATTAATTACAGTTTATTCACTTTGTGTCCCCCCTGTACCTCCCTTGCTCCTCCCCTCCCAATACCACCTTCCCTCTTTCCCACCCATGTCCCTCTCCCAGTCCACTGATAGGGGAGGTCCTCCTCTCCTTCCCTCTGATCCTAGTCTATCAGGTCTCATCAGGAGTGGCTGCATTGTCTTCTTCTGTGTCCTGGTAAGGCTGCTCCCCCTAGGAGGGAGGTGATCAAAGAGCAGGCCAATCAGTTCGTGTCAGAGATAGTCCCCGTCCCCATTACTATGGAGGCCACTTGGACACTGAACTGCTATGGGCTACCTCTATGCAGGGGCTCCAAGCCATCTCCATGAGTGGTCCTTGGCTGGAGAATCAGCTTCAGGAAAGACCCCTGTGCCTAGAATTTTTGGAACTGTTGCTGTCCTTGTGGAGCTCCTGTCCTCGCCAGGTCTTAATCTCTCCCCCTTCTTTCATAGATTCCCTGCACTCTGCCCAAAGTTTGGCTATGAGTCTCAACATCTGCCTCAATACCCTGCAGGGTAGAGCCTTTCAGAGGCCCTTGTGGTAGGCTCCTGTCCTGTTCCCTGTTTTCTCCATCTTCTTTGCCTTTCTGAATGGGGATTGAGCATCTTAGCCAGAGTCCTCCTTCCTGATTAGCTTCCTTAGGTGTACATGTTTTAGTATGTTTATCCTATACTATATGTCTCGTATCCACTTACGAGTGAGTATATACCTTGTGTGTCTTTCTGCTTCTGGGATACCTCACTCAGAATGAGCTTTTCCAGTTTCTACCATTTACCTTTATATTAAAATTTGCTGCAATGAAATGTGGAAACCCACAAATGAATTGACTTTTGACAAGTACAGACTTCTCTGTATAATCAAAACCCTATTGATGTGTAGAATGTTGGCATTAGTTAAAAATTTTTCTTAACCCTTTTTTCAATTTCACTCAACATTTAGGCAATCATTGTTCTGGTGTGTGGTGTGTGGTGTTTGTTTGTTTGTTTTGTGTGTGTTGTGGTGTGCGTGTTTGGTAACTTACATCAGTATGAACAATAAAATGTCTAAGATAAGCAACTGAAAAAATGGAGGATTTATTTTGACATGTAGAGTCAAAGGTCTGGGTCCATGTTTGCTTATCCTCATTGCTTGCATCCCAAGATAAGATAGGGCATCATGGTAAAAAGACATGTCTTAATAGAGCTATCATGTTATCTGGAAAGCAGAATGGCAGAGAAAAGGAGAACCTAGGGATGACATACACATCAAAAGGTCCCAGGTACCCATTTTCTCCAAACAGAACCTGCCTATTTCTTTCCATAATGAACTCATCAGTGGCTTATTCCACTGATAAGTAAAAATTCTCCAGTTTTGCCTTATTATGTATGCTTCCATTTCCTAAAATTCTTATCTGCTTTGAAGTTAAAAAAAATCTTGTGTTTGCCTGAGTCAAGTTTTTTTTTGTTTATAATATTTATTTTTTTAAATATTAATCACAGGTTATTTACTTTATATCCCAGCTGTATCCTGCTCCCTCATTCCCTCGCAATCCCATCCTCCCTCCCTCGTCTCCTCCCTGCCCCTTTCCAAGTCCACTGATAGAGGAGGACCTCCTCCCCTTCCATCTGACCCTAGCTTATCAGATCTCTTCAGGACTGCCTACAATGTCCTCCTCTGTGGTCTAGCAAGGCTGTTCCTCCCTCAGGGGTGGGGGAGGTCAAAGAGCCAGCCATTGAGTTCATGTCAGAAATAGTCCCTGTTCCCCTTACTAGTTTGGATACTGAGCTTACTAACTTGGATACTGAGCTACCATGGGCTACATCCGAGCAGGGGTTTTAGGTTATATTCATACATGGTCCTTGGTTGGAGAAACAGTCTCATGAAAGACCCTTGTGTCCAGATATTTTTGGTCCTTGTGGAGTTCCTGTCCTCTCCAGGTCATACTAACTCCCCCTTCTTTCATATGATTCCTTGCACTCTGCTGAAGGTTTGGTTATGAATCTCAGCATCTGCTTTGATACACTGATAGGTAGAGTCTTTCAGAGGCCCTCAGTGGTATGCTCCTCCTGTTCCCTGTTTTCTACTACTGCCAATGTCCATCCCATTTGTCTTTCTATGTGAGGATTGATCATCTTACCCAGGGTCCTCTTTCTTGTTAAGCTTCTTTAGGTGTACAGATTTCAGTATGTTTATCCTATCTAATAGGTATAGTACCCACTTATAAGTGAGTATATACCGTGTGTGTCTTTCTGGGATACCTCACTCAGGATGGTCTTTTCTAGATCCCACCATTTGCCTTCAAATTTCGTGATTTCCTTGCTTTTAACTGCTGAGTAGTATTCCATTGTGTAAAACTACCACAATTTCTGTATCCATTCCTCCATTGAAGGACATTTGGGTAATTTCCAGGTTCTAGCTATTACGAATAAAGCTGCTACAAATATGGTTGAGCAAATGTCCTTCAAACTTGGCCTGTTCATAGTGACAATGTAGAGCTGTGCCTCCATCCTTCACCATTTACTCTGTGAGCATCCAAGTAGCCCTCAGTCCAAACACAGCACCAACCAGTGTGCTGAGAACACAGGGAACTGGAAAGAGACCTCTCTGATTCAACCTAAGTATGTCAGCTAGAAAGAAAAATCATTGACTTCTTTTTCTTTCTTTCTTTTTATTCCACACCTGTTCCCAGATTTTACTTATTATTTTTAAATATTCATTTTTTTCATTTATTTTTTTCTCTTTCTCACGTACTTTCCTTTTTAAAAATCTGGCATATATATATACACACATACATAGATATATACATACATACTTATGTGTGTATTTCCATTGTATTTATGTTTCTATTTCAGTTCCTTATTATTGTTTTTTATTTACTAGATTTTAATCTCTGAGTGTATTCTGTATGTACCTTTGCTGCTTTTATGGCCATCCGTGTAGTGGCATGCTTACTGTTAACGACATTTTACTGCATTCCTGACTGTGGTTAGATGTGATGGTGATGCTGTGGTTGTTTTCTCTCTTGAGTGATACTGGGAATTAAGCCCTCAAAAGAAGATTGCTAAGTGGGCCCTTGTTTGAAAGTAGAAGAGGGATTGGAGAGATGACTCAGTGATTAAGAGCACTCTGTTTTTCGAGAGTGTAAAAGGAACTTTTATTTGCCTGTTCAGTTTTTGTTTTGGAGCCTGTTGTCTTACTGCTTGTGTCTGCTAATGTAGGCCTAGTCCATGAATCTTCTAGCCTTTGTACAATCTAACCTAGGCCAAGAAAGTTTTCAGCCTCTGAGACTTACTGCTTAATAAGCTCACCCTTTCCTGTCTTTCTGAGCTCTGGGCAGGCTGGTTCGATTCAGCTGTTCTGGCTCAAACTCCTCTCCAAGCTGACTGATTAAATCTGGCTTTCCTGTTCTGCTTAGCCTCAAACACACTCCAGAAATCTGCTCTAATCTTCTGGCTCCTTCTCATTCTCTGGCTCATTCTGCCTTCCCCTGTATCTAGCTTGTTCTCTCATTCAACCTCTCTCTTTAAAACTCTCTCTGTAAAACTGCTTTCTCTCTCTCTGCATTGCCCCTTAGGTAGCTTCCCTTTCCTCTCTTTTCATGAGAGTTGGGTATACCCTATTCTGTCATATCTTTCTCTGATTTGTCACTTTTTCTGCCACTCTACTAGACATCACTTTCAAACATGGGTGCTTCCTTCTACAAACTAACTTTACCTTTATTTTTTGTGATTAAAGGAATGTACCACCATGCCTGGACCTCAGCTTTTCTTTACCTGAAACATGCTTTAGTCCAAGCTGGGCATGAGCTCAGAGATGGGCTTGCCTCTGTCTCCTTGATTAAAGGCATGTTTTTAGTTAGTTAATTAATTAATTACAACTTATTCACTTTGTATTCCCATTGTAGCTCCTTCCCTCTTCTCCCTCTATGCCCCTTCCTTAGTCCCCTGAAAGGGGAGGACCTTGTCCCCTTCTATCTGACCCTATTTTATCAGATCTCATCAGGGCTAGCTGCACCATCTTCCTCTGTGGTCTGGCAAGGCTGCACCCCGCAGGCAGAGGTGATCGAAGAGCCACTGAGTTCATGTCAGAGAGAGCCCCTACCCCCATTACTAGGGAACCCACTCAGAAACTGAGCAGCCTATGGGCTTCCGCTGAACAGGGGGTCTAAGTCCTCGCCATGCATGGTCCTTGGATGGACTATCAGTCTCTGCAGGCCCCACTGGGCCCAGGCTTTTTGGTTCTGTTGGTCTCTTTGTGGAGTTACTGTCCCCTCCACGGCTTTCTGTCTCCCTCTTCTTCTACAAAGTTTCCTGATCTTCACCAAAACTACATCTGACAGAGGGCTAATACCCAGAATATATAAAAATCAAGAAGTTAAACACTAACAAACCAAGTAATCCAATTTAAAAAATGGGGTACAGAGATAAACAGAGAATTCCCAACAGAGGAATATGGAATGGCAGAGAAACACCTAAAGAAATGTTCAACATCCTTAGTTATTTGCGAAATGCAAATTAAAATGACCCTGAGATTCCACCTCACACCCATTAGAATGGCTAAGATAAAAAACTCAAGGGACAACACATGCTGGAGAGGTTGTGGAGAAAGGGAAACCCTTCTTCATTGCTGGTGGCAATGTAACCTTGTACAACCACTTTGGTAATCAATTTGGTGCTTTCTCAGAAAATTAAGAATAGTGCTGCCTCAAGATCCAGCTATGCCACTCCTGGGCATATATTCAAAAAATGTCTTACCTTTCAATAAGGACATTTGCTCAGCTATGCTCATAGCAGCTTTATTTGTGATAGCCAGAATCTGGAAACTATTCAGAATCTAGATGTCCCTCAACCAATGAATGGTTACAGATATTGTTGTGCATTTAAACAATGGAATACCACTTAGCAATTAAAAACAAGGAAATAATGAAATTTGTAGGCAAATGGTAGGAACTAGAAAAGATCACCCTGAGTGAGGTAACTCAGAAGCAGAAATACATATATGGTATATAATCACTTATAAGTGGATATTAGCTGTATAATATAAGATGAACATACTAAAATTGATAGCCCTAAAGCAGCTAAACCTAGGGAAGACTCTTAATCCTCATTCAAAAAGGCAAACAAAACAGACATCAGAAGGAGAAGACAAGAAACAGGACAGGAGCCTTCCACAGGGGGCCTCCGAAAGACTTTACCCAC